GATTTTTTTCTCTCTTCATTAGCGTGAAATTACGGTAGGAATTTCGCGGAGGCTTTGTGTTAATGAGGGTCATATTTTACCGCTAAAAAGAACCAAAGATGCTGACGATTCCTACACTATGTTGATCAGAGCCGCTCACTCCAAATATGAAACTTGCGCTCTACCGCTTCAACGCTTTTTTGCAGCTTACGTCATATTCCACATTGCTAGAGAATGAGGATGCTGCATCAAATATGAAAAGAGTCATGGGAAAAGTTTCAAAGCTTATGCGCAAACCTTATCTTATTGATTGGTTTCATATAATCAAGATTGAACTTTGACATTTTGTGTTAGAGGAAGGATCGACAGCGATTTTTTAGAGCAACTGTCGTCTACGGAGTGTTCCTGATTAGTTTCACTTTCAACTGAGGCTGAGATTCAACATAATGGACTGTCAAGTAAGTTTTGCGGCTCTTTCCGTAACTTTTCGCTTTTTGATGTTAGCGAGCTCTTTTTTTTAAACATTACTTAGAATGAGTGCGGGTTACAAACCAGAACAAACCGGCGCTTTTTCAGTGGTAAAATAGAAAAAAGATAAAATAAACCCTTTTGCAACCTAGATCACGCATAGTAGATTGTTGCCAGAGCTTGTCTTATTTCACTCAACAAAGAGAACTGGAATTTGAAGATAAGTCGGAATCTTTCACCCTCGCGAAGAATCGCTGTATGCAAGGCCGCTAAGGGCAAGAATTAAAATATCAAAGGCTCAACTTCATCTAAACTTGGAAATTGGGTTACTTGACTTGCTGAACGCAAACATCATATTCATTTGTGAGATTCACCCCTCTTTTCGTGTTTAGAGCGAGACCCCCATACCGTAGACCTACCGTAGTCCTACAAAATGGCATTACCACTCAATTTAGTAATGTTTTCATGATCAGCATCTCGGATACCCCCCCCCTCCTAACCCCCGCCAATTTTTAGCCAAATCTGTGATAATCTAAAAATTCCCGTTATACCGTATACCTGCCGTACCTTTACAACTTCAAATCAACAGAATGGTAGCTGCACTTGTAGCTTGAATAAGAACTTACATAATGGCAGAACTTGGGTGTGTCATGTTTGTAAAGAAAAACGTTGGAAAAATTTGCAAAAATATTCAATCTCGTATATAAAGCAGAAAATCTATGTGTTTGTGTGTTTGTGCACATTTCCCGTCATGAAGGATGAGCGGCGAAGCTCATTTTGTTCGCTGGAGGACGGTGGGATAGCGAACCGAAGACGAGTTGGAATCAGAAGAAGAAAAAACGAAACCTAGCTCCAAAAATACGTTTACAAGTTTAGCTTCGTCGTGTACTTCGCTTCTAATCTACCAATGTTAAGGACATCATCGCTTTCAGTGCTCAGTCTCAGTTCTGAAGGTTGCTTCATAACTCCTGCTGTAGCGTTTGCGACAAATAGACGGTTGCTGGTTATCGTCGAGATTTGATGAATGAAAAGATGAGGCTTCGTATGGCATTGTACAATGGGAAACTCGTAATAGAGCCTGTGCTTGTAGGCATAATTTACAGGTGCAAAGAATGGCTTAAGGGAGCAGTCTGGCCTTCACTTCACATATGAGGGAAACACTTTGTACAATTAGAATTTGCAAATGCTGTTTTGCCCGGAATTGCAAGCAGTTTCGTTTATACTAATATGTAAAATGATCCCTTGGGAATCTTTTGGAATCTATCGTGTACTAAAAACGAAGGATGCTGCCCAAGTGATGTTAGCTTGCAGTGGCGTACCGAGGATTTTGGCTCGGGGGGGGGGGGACAAAAATTTTTTTTGCCATGAAAGCGTGGCGTTAGCCGCGCGCCCAGAAAAAATTTCTGGTACGCTTCTCAAAATTTTTGCGGATTCAAAACCCCAGAATTCAAGAAAAAGTGGGCGTGACGTCAGCCGCGCCTCCAAAAAAATTTTTTTATAGGGCTAAAATGATTTTTTAAAAAAATTTTAAAAATTATTTTAAGTACTTACAAGTATAAATAAGTCTTTTGCACATTTTTCAATTTTTTTATGACTCATATAAGTGAATTTCAAAAATTTCGCGACCCATTCTCGGAGGGAGGGGGGCGCCCTCCCCCTCGGTACGCCACTGTTAGCTTGATATCAGTTTTGACTCTCAGGGATCGTTCAGACCTCGCACAAAGGCGCACAAAGGGGCACGAAGGCGCACAAAGGCCCGCGAAGGCGCGTCTCGTCTCGTATCGTTTATCTCGACACACACAGACACTCACACACACCTTCGTGCGCCTTTGTGCGCCTTTGTGCGCCTTGATGCGCCTTCGCGCGCCTTTGTGCGCCTTTGTGCACGGTCTGAACGATCCCTTGGAAGCCGAATGATAAACTAAGATTTTTCGGATTGTGTAATGAGTTCTGCGTTGTTTGTTGTTTTTTGTTTTCTGTTTGCTTTTCTCCAAGCTTTGTGAAACATTCATCAAAATGTTGATGTTTGTTAGAAAACTACAGGATCTATAAAAATAATTGCATCTCTCAAGTTCAGCATTCTTGGAAAGTTTTGGTTTTGAAGCAAATCAATCGATGACAGGAAGTCCAGTTAGACAGCTATCTCTGTATTTTCCCGCTCTACATAGTGAAGTATGCTCAACAAACTTGACAACAAGCAAGACAACAGACAAGACATTTTCTGCAGGTACCGTCACTGTTATGCTTACTTTCTGCCTTTCACGGACTGTCCAATGTCATTTTTTATCATGGCGTAGCAGGCTTTTGTTGAAAAATTAAATTCTCAAATTTTCGAATTGTTTTCTGTACATTCTGATACCTATGGATATGAAACGTGTCGCATCATAAAGTCGAAAGTGGATTTTTTGCCTGTTTGGATTTCTAGCTTTGCAAATTTTCAGCATTATTTATTGGAAAAACAAAATAGAAAATTCAAGTGACTTCCTGGATGCATATGTACAATTTCCTAGTTACAGCGCAAGGTATGAAGAAAAACTGAATTAAAAAATGCAACAGTACATTCATTCTACACAATCTAATAACTTGTGCACATGTTTTTCGTCATCAAATCTTATATTCTTGACAAAAAATTGTTATGGTTTGCGAACCGAACCCCATTCACACTGTTGCATACTCATTTGATTCGTCTATTTGCTTAGCGTTCTGTCAGCGATTCTTTTTTCAAGCTCAGAAAGCAAAAATCGGAGAATAACGTAAGGAAGCAAAGACACTTCTTTTGATTGATAAGGAATTGTGGGGAAGGAATTATCAAAAGGAATTAAAGGAATTTTTAAAAGGAATTATTTACTTCTATTTCAGATGTCTACTCTTGCCAACTCCTAAAAAATCCTATTGTTGAGACTAATCACACTGCATATATGGAGTGTCCCTAAAATTATGTCTACTGTTTGATTTGTGTGACAATGTTTTTTGCATGGTGATTTCATTTAACAACTTTTTGCGCGTTCTCAGGCCTTTTTAAATGGCGTAATTAAATTTTTGACGAATTCAAAAATTGGTTGCAACCGTATATCTGGCACATAACTTAGAGAAACCACTTTGATTTTTGATCTTTTCCTTTTTAAGTTATACGATAAAAACGCATTGGGAAGCTAGCGATCGAAAATCTTGTTGGAAAGATTGGACGTTAAACAGCATTCAACCTTTATTCAAATTTTGTTTGGTATCGTATCATAATTTATTTATTTATTTTTTTATTTATTCATACGCACTTCGGCGTGCTATCAATCCAACAAAACAGCTAACACGAGGATACTAAGGAGAGCTGCAATGAAAATGAAGTAGTAAACACTAAGCAAAAAAAACCACCGAATATCTTTTTCTGACCAGCACATAAAGCTACAACATATGGGTGGGACCAGAGATAAGCTGATAGGACATACTACCGAGTAGTGTAATTTCTAGATTAAAAAATTCGTTTATCCACTTACCCTCGCCAGCCAACAGACATGAAAATGGACAAACAGTGGGAGCAGGAGCAGAAGCTCGGCAAACGGATACGCCGGCAGCCCCCGCCGACATACCCAGACGGGTATACTGGTAGGGGGCCACCAGCATACCCGCTCACCAACCCTCCGCATCACCCCCACCATCCGGCCACCACCATCCCGGTGGGCAGGGGAGGGAAAGCAGCCTTGCGAAGGATAACTAAAGAGTGCCTACACTAACTCATGTATGCCGCCTAGAGCTTACTAATCCACCCGCAAGAACACACATATGGTAGCCGGGTCTCAACTAAACAAGGTGATGCAAACTCAACAGGTCTAGTACGACCTGAGCAGAAACCAAAGGCAAAAAAGACAAGGTGCTAGAATTTATAAAGACAACCAAAAGGGAAAAAACAGAGCTAAAAATAACATTGAAGCCATCGGAAAGAAAGGAAGTAAAATGTAGTCGGATGGATGTAGACATTATCATTTGACGTCTCGTAGCTGAAGTAACTCAATAACATCGATCTTGGACAAGGCTTTTTTGAAAAGGGGAGAATTTTTCTGAAATAGAAGTGCAGGGGGCAAACACTCAATCCATTTAGCTGTTCTGAAAGCAAATGTGCTTAATCTGCGTTGACGGCATGAGGTGGGCAGCTTAGGGTAGCGAAAAGCAATGAGAGAGCGCCTTCCATAAACAGGACGAGATGACCAAAAATTAGAAGGCTTCAGGCGAAGTTCGCCTTTGAATATTTTGAATGCCAAAATCAAATCCATTTGAACTCTTCTATAGTACAAACTTTTCAAGTTGAGCTTTTGCAGACGGGTGCTATACGAAGGGAGGCTTTGCGGATAACTTTCATCCGGAAAAGCACGATAGTATAGTACTCTGGTAAACGTCCTTTGTATGCTCTCAAATTTTCTATATCTTTAGAGAGATATGGAACCAAATAGAACTGCAATCATCCAAGGGTAAAATGAACATTTTATAAAGCTTGATCCAAAGAGACATAATTGCAAACAATTTTGTCAATTTTCAATTTTGTCAAACAATTTTGTCAATTGTCAATTTCTCTTTTTGCAAACATAATATTTCATGTGCCATCCACAATCGATGCTGTTCCAGTGATAGTCTTGAACAAATCTTAGTCTTGCTGGGCCTTGATGGAACTAAACTTTGCAAGATTGACAAACTTACTATTAATAAAAAAAGTGCGCTGACATTACCTGCCCGCATTTCTCATGTTCAAGATGATCTGGCTGGTTTACAGCCCATTTCTTGTAATTAAGGTATGTGCCATCTGTCCATTCCCACTCGTTTTTCGAGTTTAGACGAAGACCGATAAAAACAAATTCGTTGAAGTTTTTGATAGGTGAGCCGTCGGAGGTGATTTCTGCAACAATTACGAAACGTCATAACAACAAAATATATGCTGCAGTAGAAACAGCTTACTGTGAATAAAGTTGTTCTCTGCTTCGCTGTGTATAGAAACCAAATGAGCGCCAAGTTTTTGGCATGATGCTTCCGCATCGTCAAAAGACTTTGCATTTCTTTTCACCTTAAGATTAGATTGGTTAAAAGCCGAATCACACCATTCACCCACCATATACTTCCTTCTTCTGAATGCCAACCAAACATCGTATTTTGGAGTGTTAGTGCTGGTTGCATCGGGTTTAGGAGTAATTTCGCCAGATGCACTGCTGCGACTTTGTGACCTAGATCTAATAGGACTTCTCAATTTGTTAGCTCGATTTTCCTTTCGTAGTCTTTGTCTGCCTGACGTTCTATCTGAATTTTGCACACCAGTCCTTCTCCTTGTAGGATGCAATATTTTTTTGGGTCTATACATGGGCTTAGACAGTTCTGAGGTATCTGATTCTTCATGGCGTATTGCCCTCGCAGGGAGCTCGTCACCTTCATTCCCGAAATAATATGTTATTTTCGGACTTAAAATTATTCGTGGCATCACAATCGCAGGATGGGCAGTTTGGCCCACATAGAGTTGGACATTGTGGTCTAGCTCATGGGGTATCTCCGGCGTGGTTGTATCTTCTTCTTGCAAAATTTGTCCTGCATAGGCGGTCGAGAAAATTGTTAGCAGTACGAGCCGCATTACCAAGCTACAAAATTGTTGATATCGCAACACAATATAGAAGAAGTTTTAGCAAAAACCCGAAATCTTTATCATTTGTGCAGTACTGTTGGTTTACTGAAATGTTTGATTACGGCAAGACGATAATTGCATTACTGGAGAAAAGCGAGAGATGGTCAAATTTCTAAGCATCCGTGTAATCTTCGCATTAGTACCTACAGTTAAAACATCATTGCATATGTATGATACGCAGGTTGGTAAAAGAATTAAGTGATATTTGAGTGTGTTCAGGGCCCGGCACGAGTCGGTTTCTAGGGTTTCTGAATACGAAGTCTCCCTTGACTTACGGAAATTTTACGAAGTCCTCTCCGACCTACCTGCTTGAAGAAGATGAAAACAAGAAAAAATTACTAGTCTGAAAGAAAAGACGTAAGATAAGAGCGAAAATCCAAATTGGGGCTGAGTACTACGCATGCACAAGACTCTGGCATTAGAGCGCGATATTTAACAAAGCGAGAATAAATGAAGGCAAAAAACAAAGGAAAGGCAATGATATGAAAATGTCTTCATGCTCAGGGATAGATTTTTGACCGGGGAATCCGTCCATGCTAAAAAGATCCGAAACTTATGTGAAGTGACGAAAATATATGCTCCAGACGATCTCAGATCGTCTGGTGGCCGTCTGGAGACGATCTAATTTTGGAAAAGGTATTACTTCACATAAGTTTTCAAATCTTTTTACATAATACTTTCGCAAATAATTTTCTAGACATGCAGTACAAATTTGATGTCATATGCTTCTGTGTGCGCTGTAAACAAGCAATTTGTTTATTTTAGCCTTGCTTTCAAATCGCGCGCACTTTTCGCCATGCACGATAGAGCATGTCAACCGTGTGATAATCTGTCCGAAAAGCTTGTGTTCGACTAAATGGCGCTCATTCTTGGTGCTTGGCCCCTATTCGTCAGAAACGATATCTACTTTGCTGTTTGCTTCAAAAACGAAGTCCAGCCTGCTTCCAGACGATCTGTGCCGGGCCCTGAGTGTGTTATCAACTCATTCACATCATTTTAAAAATCTTCCATCGTTTTCAGGCGATGGGAGCAGCAGTGCATTGTGAAACTTCTTCTTTGTCTATTTTTCATGAATTCAAAGCGTCTTGCATAATAATTAGAATTTTCGGTTTTTTCTAAACTTTCTATCATTCATTTTCTAACTGAGAGAAAAGGGCACCTCTGCGTGTAGTGTGGACCCCGGCCAGCTTCCCATAGGTACCTCCGCGGCGCACCCGTAGCCATGCCTTTAGTGCGCCTTTCTCTTCTGTCTCTAGTGGAAATTCTTATGCTTTTCTCTCTTGACTGGCTTTGTTCTGCTTGTAATTGCCCTATTTTAGGTGTAGACGACTAACGATAACTGCCGATTAGGAATTCTTACCAGCCTTAAGAGTCTCGAGAGCTTTTCTCTCTAGAATTCCATTTTTTTTCACAATGGCGAAGACTTCAATGTATTTTAGTGAAAAAGATTGATTTGTAGTAATGCTCCTCGTTCTTTTGTAGTACGTCATTAGGGCTCTGCTTGTACAGATGGCAAACGGCAGATGCTCGTACAGCTCAAGCTTACGCTTTTTAGCTTTTTTATGACCACAGGAGAAAACTTTTTGAAAACGATCCCGACTTTTTGTTCCTTCTACGACTTTTAGTCACTGATATCATACATACCACATAGCATGCAAGAGACTGACTGAAATGTGCGCACTAGCGGGAGTTTTGAACGTTCTTTTTTTGCATAGCCTCTCCTCGAGCTGAGATTAGTGACTTCCATTTCTCATTTCACTTCTGTCTCAAGCAGAAATGCTTCTTCGTTGATAAGCGAAACGAGAAGCGCCAGGTCGAGCGCGCGTTGCGTATGCGCCGCGGCGGTACCTATGGGAAGCTGGCCGGGGCACACACTATATTTTTATCAGCAACTTCAAGAGTGCGTTTCAACGCGTTTTGGCAGATTACCATTAGAAGTTCATAGAGTAGTGTTCTCAAACTTGCTTTTTAACAAGCTCGAACATGTTCTTTCGCAAATACCTTATAGTATTTACCAAAACGCGTTGCACGCGCTCATAAAGTTATTAATCAAAAGCACGCAAAGCGTGCTCGTGTCTCTCAGGCACCCGCCATACTTGATCTTTTGATCCGCTTGATCAGCTTGAACCGCTTGGTCCGTTTGATCCGCTTCGTGCAAAACGCGCTAAAAATTTGTCATTTGGCGTCGCGTACAGCGTACTTGCCTAACCCCACAAAACTCCTTTTTAGGCGAAGTCAAATGACAGACTGTTGTGTGCGCGCGTTCTGCACGAAGCGGATTGAGCGGATCAAGCGGACCAAGAGGATCAAGTATGGCAGGTGTCTTATGTTGGTGAAAGAATGACAATAACTTGAATTCCGCTTTGCCAAACAGTTCTGTTATGGCATTTTATTAGATTGGCTTGCTGTTTCGATGCGTTCGATCATGTAATGGTGGGATAAACGGCCTCTAAAAACGACGAACGCGTCGAAATGTTAGGCCAATAAACTAAAGAGATTATAATATAAAAACCTGTTTAGCACAGCAAAATCGAAGATTTTAAATGAATATTATGAAATTTATACGAAGTTGGCTTGGTGAAAACAATAGGATCTAAATTTTAAGTCTTTGCTTATTTGAAAAGGAGTCATTGTTTCTGTGAAAACAGGAGTGTAAAAAAGAAAAAACACCTTTTTTCTGCCTGATTCACGTTAATTAGATTTCTCAATAGGGATAGAGCACGTGACGTGATGTCTGAAATTCTTACAACTTACCTCCAGAAATAAACTAGGGTGCCCGTTAACAGTTTTCCTTAGGTTTTTACAAGAGCGTAAATCATCAGGTTTTTGTACGAGTCCGCAAACTTTCTATTTTTTGGATGCGCTATAGAGCTTATTTGATAAGCGATATTCCGCAAGCGCGACATTCCGTTGGTGCCGCAAAATCACGTTAATCTGCAATCTGCACAGCCATATGCTCCCGCCTGTATGGAGTTTTCATTCAAAACATGTGCTCATAATACACCCTTCTGTTGTGATCTATTTTAGTATACAGTGTGTAAGACCTGATCTCCATACTAACGGTGCAAGCTCCATCGCACAGAAACTTCATAAGCTCGCTTTGCTGGAGCGGTCTACGTAGATTAGCGCCAAAAGTAGCTAGAGGCTTTTATTACCATGATTTCCTTATAAAAGCCAGTGTTCATTCGAATTTTACTGATTGCAACCACATTATAAGCTAGCTTAAGAAGCAATTTTCTGATTTTTGTGAAGATAGGCCACATAACCTTTATACAGGAGATTTTCAGAAATTCAATTCTCGGACTTGTTTACGGGAAAAGACAGAAGGGTTTGGGTGTGAGAAAGGTTTCTGGATTCTGGTCGAAAAATATTAGAGAAGATTTCTTCGCTAAGTCGCGAAAAAACAGCTGATTTTTGAAGCTTACCTGACTTATAGCACCCCTTACACTGTAATATAATACTATTGTAAGCTACAGTGCAAAATGCTTACAACTTTCAACAATGCAGGTTTACATTAATAAAGTTTCAGATCACCTTCAATTCTGCTGAATTACGATGATTTGCTTTATAAGTCAGCCTCTTGTTGTAGGGTCATGTAAGTATTAGTGTCAAGAAAATAATGTCGTTTTTTTTTTCGGGGTTTTTCGGGCAAAATTGATATCACTCGAGAACTAAAACACATCCGAGTCCGAAATATTATGTTTAAAGTTATGAAGCTTTGTGGTATACAGAGACATATGTGGGAGGGGGTCCAGTGCTACTGAGGGCGGAGTCTGCCATTTTCCATTTTTCAATTTTTTCTTCGTTTCTAAGCATGGAAAAAAATATAGCAAGTGTACCCATGGATAAGTGCATGTGTCTTTTACATGCAGGAGCAAGTGAGAAGTTCGCAGGATTTTCTAGGACAAAAATCCAAAGTTTCGTCATGCTGCTTCAGTTGCTCATATGTTTTGGCTCCGAACTTTGCGTAAACAACAAGCTCTGCCAATATTTGGATGCCATCTTGTAGAGCTTCCTTTGCTTTATCAAATGGTGCCCCTCGCATAATTTTTTGGATTTGTTTTATGGCTTTGGTTTAAAAAACGGCATTATTTTCTTGACGACCTATAGAAATCGAGTAAAATTTGCTTTTTCCACAAATTGCCAGCCATTCTCACTCTGCGAGAGGTTTCCTGCACAATATTCTGTCAGTGAGAATCTATGAGAATCATCCTGCAGGTGTCTGTCAAAGCCATATCCATGTTCGCGACAAAAACTGAACTGCTAACAAAAAATACAGAATGACTGAAGCCCTTGACTGAAGGCGTGATTTAGCTTGTAGGGACAGCCGGCACGTCGATCACAGTGATTATGCCAGATTTACTGCACGATGCCATTGCAAACCATTTTTGCCTTTTTTTAAAAAGACAGCTGGCTTTTTCCGTTCTTGCAAAATTCCCGCAAAATTGCATTCAACGCTAGATAATCTAGACAGTTGTAACAATCTGTTTATGGAATGTTCTATGCGTGATATGCCTTATATTTTTGCGAATAGAAGTTGCATAAAAAATTGTGGCCTGGCTTGCACAAAATATATGATGGACGTACGCTATACTACAGCGCCTGTTGCGCGGCGTCACGCTCTGTCACTAAAAATTCTAGCAATTTCGCGCATCGTGAATTTCGTCACACCCTTAAGAGATATAACTTTATCAAAATCGCTCGATTTACTTTACTTCTGTCTGTTTTCACGATCACTTTTTCACATAAGTAGGGAATGCTACTCAAAGCAGAGCAGCAGGAAAGTATGCGGAATTTTCATGTTAATCCATTCAAACAGCTTTTATATGAAATTCTTATATATAAAGCTGAATGTCTGTTTGTCTGTATGTCTGTATATCTGTATGTCTGTCTGTCTGTACGTATGTTCCGAATAGAAAATTCCATTTCTCAACCGATCCGGACCAAACTTGGCACAC